TTCCTGCCAAGGGGCAGCGGCCATTTCTGCTCTGTGGGACCAGGGACAGGACGCGAGGGAATGGCCGGAGCTGTGTCAGCGGAGGCTTAGGTTGGACATTAGGAAAAGGTGCTTCCCCCGGAGGGTGGTGGGGCACTGGAACAGGCTGCCCAGGGCAGTGGTCACGGCCCCAAGGCTGCCAGAGCTCAAGGAGCGTTTGGACAACGCTCTCAGGCACAGGGTGGGATGGCTGTGCTGTCCTGCACAGGGCCAGGAGTTGGACTGGGCGACCCTTGTGGGTCCCTTCCAAGGCAGGATGTTCTGTGATTCGAGCTCTTTGGTTAAGCCTTCCTCTGCCCATGAAGAGCTGGCAAAGCTGTTGGGGGTGGGGCAGACAGCTGTTGGTGCTGTCTCTAGGACACAACAATGGCAGGCCTAACATTCCATCCCTGGAGACGCTCCAAGAGGAGCATCCAGACCTGTGTCCAGTCAACAGAAGCGACCGGCCACCGAGCGTGACTGACCATGGCCCTGTCAGCTCTGTGGCGCCGCTCTGTGAGCTGGAGATCAGCCCTGACCCGGCTCGTGCAGCTCTTCCGCTCCCCCCAAAGCTCCGGCACCAAAGGTGAGGACAGAGCCTGACCCCGAAAGCCCCGCAGTGCACGGTGGGGACATTGACAGCCCTTCCTCCCCTGCACCTGGCCCTCCTCCTCCTCCTCAGTCCTCTCAGCGCCTGACGGCCCCAGCTCGGGAGGTGACTTCCAGGCTTTGCTCTTTCTCACAGGCTCAGCCAACCTGCCTCCACCAGCCCCACTGGCAAGCAGCCCTGGTGCTGCTGTTCCCTCCAGTACTGCCCAGGGGGGGCCCCAGGGCAGTGGGAAGCCGCTGGCTGGGGCAGACCAACGTGCCCCCCAGGGTCAACTGCAGCCCTACGACCATCAGGGGAGAGCAGTGGCCCCGGTCCCACCAGCGCGGCACAGCCAGCGCAGCCCTGCCAGCTCAGCCAACCCCTCCGGGACACCCCTGGGCAGTGGCAGCCCCCCAGACAGGAGCACCCCCATGGATGTGGACGTCACCCCGGCACTTAACATCAGCCTGGCCAGTGACGTCTCCATGGAGGAGGACGCCCCCCGCGGCTGCGACCTCTCGCTGGCCACCGACGTGTCCATGGAGGAGGACACCGCCCGCGGCTGCGACCTCTCGCTGCCCACCGACGTCTCCATGGAGGAGGACGCCCCCCGAGGCTGCGACCTCTCGCTGGCCAGTGATGTCGCCATGGAGGAGGACACCTCCCCGCCCAGGCACACCACCGCCAGCCCCTCAGCCGCACTCCAGCTCCAAGCCATCAGGGAGCCTGGGGTGACTCCAGCCAGCCGCGCTCTGCTGAGTGGGAAGGTCCTGCCGCAGGGGACTCAGGGGCACTTGGCTTGCTCCCCGGGGGCTGCAGGGACCAGCCAGGATGGTGGCAGCAGCAGCGTCCCCGTGCCCACGGACCGTGGAGACACCAAGCTGGAAAGGCGGGGGGCGAAGAGGAAGAGGGGCTCTGAGCCAGGGCCTGCCATCAAGATCAAGGCTCCCGCAGCCGGGGCTGGGGCAGGAAGATTGGCTTAGGCCTGTTAAAGGGATAGGTCGTTTGGGGACCTATCCCAGTTTGAGGGATAGGTCGTTTGGGGACCTATCCCAGGGTGAGGCATAGATCGTTTGGGGATCTATGCCAGTGGGAGGGATAGATCGTTTGGGGATCTATCCCAGCGGGAGGGAGGGAGGGTGTTTATGTGGGGAAGATGTAGATAGAGATGTAGGGAAGATGTAGAGATAGATGTAGACGTAGATCCGTAGATACTGTTACGTAGAAAACGTAACAGTTTTCTTCTGGTTACGGAATAAAAGATTTGATTCCAACACCTGCCTGTGTCTGCATGGAATGGGGAGGGAGTGCAGGGTGGCCCCAGCAAATGGCCCCAAGCAGATCCACCAAGGCCCAAAGGGCACCAAGGGCACCCAAAGGGCACCCCGGGCCTGAGTCACTGCCAGAGGTGCAGGCACTCCCGCAGGGTCACTCCCCTGCCCCCTTCGCCTGGGGAAGCAGCCCTTTGGCGTGGCAGCCGGGACACATGGGTCCCGTGCAGGACTCGCGCAGACGGCCCCACGCCCAAAGCAGCCCTGAGCAGAGCCTGGGCACCATCCTCCCGCTCTGGGGCTTTGGAAGGCTGCTCCCAGTGACCCCACTGGGGTGTCCCCGGTCAGCCCAGCGCAGCCCCAGACAGGGCTCCTCCGGGCTGCCCTGGGGCTGCATTGGACAGGGCCCATAAGGGAGAGGGAAGAATGCGCTGGCAACCACATCCAGGGCCTCACAGGAGCCCAGGGAGACGACATCCGTAGATCTCTGGGAGGTGACACTCGGAAGGTCTCGACCTCTGTCTTGGGGTGGATGGCGAGCCACTCAGGAGTTGATGGGTCAGGATCAAAGGGCGGGCAGGCTGGGAATGGGCACACTGCTGTGGGGGTTTGCTCCAGGCCTCCTGAGCAGGAGCAAGATGTGGAGGAGACCTCTACAGGCAGCTTGAAGCAGCCTCCAGGTCACAGTCCCTGGTTCTCGGGGAGACTTCAACTGCCCTGGCGGCAGCTGGAGAAGCAACACAGCCAAGCACCAACAGTCCAGCAGGTTCCCGGAAAGCGGTGACGACAACTTCCTGGCCCGGGGGCTGGAGCCTCTGACAAGCCAAAGGAATGCTGTGCTGCTCCACCTCTTACTAACAGACCGCAAAGACCTTGTTGGAGATGGGAAGGTGCGGGACAGCCGGGGCTGTAGAGACCATGGGATTGTGGTCGTCTGAAATTGCAGCCAGTGGGAAACACCTAAATAGCCAGGAGATGGAGGAGCCGACGAAAAAAAATAAACTTTTCTTGCAAGAAAAGGGAGACTTCACTGGACAAACGGCAGTGAGGTGGCTCAGCTCAGTGGAGGTCGCAGCCCCCTTTTAGCCCCTTTGCCCGCAGCGCTGCTCCCTGCCCGTTTCTCCACTGGCTGAGACACTCTGGGCTTACAGGCTTCCCGACACGCCTACTCTGTGCCCCCCATTCTGTCCCGATGAGGTGGCTCGGAAGGCCACTGACATTTTTCAAAGTGGAGGCCGCTTCAAAAGGGAGGACGTGGTCACCTGAGACCTTCTGTGCTGCTGACTGGGCCCCCTGTCTCCGGGCAAACGGCACCTCTTGGGAACTGACAACTGAGCAACCAGTGACTTCTCGCTTCTCCCTGCCAACCGTGACTGCACTACACCCTTTGCAAGAGCACCTTCCTATTGCTAAGAGTGGAGCTCGGGACGGCGGGAGGAGGAAGCAAGGCAGCCTGTAAGACTAGAAGCGTGGAGCTGAGGAGAGCTGCCTTGAGCCTCTTCAGGGATCTTCTTCCTTCTTGCCTGAAATCCTTTTTTCCCCTCACTCACTGCTCTTGCTGCCCAGCCTCACTTCCTGCAACCCCTTCACCCATTTTCAGTCTGGTTCTGTCCCTCCTTCTTTTAATCCCCAGCTTTTCTCCAGAACAGCCAATTGACATCCACGGAATCACTATGCCCAGAACCGCCAGGAGAGCTCCACAAGTTCAGAAGTTCAAGTGGGCAGAACCCCTCTTGGACATACCCTTCCCTGCTTGGAACATCTGATTCCACGTGAGGAGCCAGCTGCTGAGCAGTCCCGAAAGCCCTCGTTTTCTAGACAGGAGCTCAACTCCAAGAGATCACAGCACAGACCTATAAAGCGCCTTTGACCCTGAGCGGACAGAACCCTGTTCTTCTTGTCCACACTTGTCTTCCCACGGAATGGAGAGCCGAAAAAAACCTCTCCAGGGCAGGGCCAGAACTGACAGGTTTACGGCAGAGGCGCAGAAATTGCCCTGTCATTGCCTCCAGGATGATATGCTTGCTCCAGCATCCTTCCATCAGGGAGCTTTTGTCGGATTGTTTGGTCAGTTTTAGGTCAATTTATATCGCTTTCAGCAATGTCAGCTTCCAGTGGTGAGAAGTCATGAGAGTAGTCCCCAGAATCAGGTGATGCCCCTTGGTACCAAGACTTTGTCTTTAAGTGGCAAAGGTTTTTATTCACCTGCTGGCTTCTGCAGAAGTCTCCTGTTTTTCCAGACTCCTAGACTCCTAGAGCGGTTTGTGTTGGAAGGAAGGGACCTGAAAGCTCATCTGCTTCCAACCACCCCTCTGCCACGGGCAGGGACACCTTCCGCTAGAGCAGCTTGCTCCAAGCCGCGTCCAACCTGGCCCTGAACACTTCCAGGGATGGGGCAGCCACAGCTTCTCTGGACAACCTGTGCCAGGGCCCCACCACTCTCCCAGGGAAGGCTTTCTTTGCCGTATGCCATCTAAGCCTGCCCTCTGCCGGCGCGAAGCCATTGCCCCTTGGTCTGTCACTGCAGTCCCTTGTAAACAGTGTCTCTTAGCCAAAGCCTTCTTGGTCCTCCCTGTTGTGTTGCAAAATTTGCAAGTTGCTGTTGTGCCAGGTGGCACCAGCCAAGCCCTGAGCCAGGTGCAGGACCTTGGCCTTGAGGTCTGAGGTCAGTGGGGCTGTTGAGCCTGGAGAAGAGGAGACTGAGGTCAGATCTCATGGGGGGCTGCAGCTTCCTGCCAAGGGGCAGCGGCCATTTCTGCTCTGTGGGACCAGGGACAGGACGCGAGGGAATGGCCGGAGCTGTGTCAGCGGAGGCTTAGGTTGGACATTAGGAAAAGGTGCTTCCCCCGGAGGGTGGTGGGGCACTGGAACAGGCTGCCCAGGGCAGTGGTCACGGCCCCAAGGCTGCCAGAGCTCAAGGAGCGTTTGGACAACGCTCTCAGGCACAGGGTGGGATGGCTGTGCTGTCCTGCACAGGGCCAGGAGTTGGACTGGGCGACCCTTGTGGGTCCCTTCCAAGGCAGGATGTTCTGTGATTCGAGCTCTTTGGTTAAGCCTTCCTCTGCCCATGAAGAGCTGGCAAAGCTGTTGGGGGTGGGGCAGACAGCTGTTGGTGCTGTCTCTAGGACACAACAATGGCAGGCCTAACATTCCATCCCTGGAGACGCTCCAAGAGGAGCATCCAGACCTGTGTCCAGTCAACAGAAGCGACCGGCCACCGAGCGTGACTGACCATGGCCCTGTCAGCTCTGTGGCGCCGCTCTGTGAGCTGGAGATCAGCCCTGACCCGGCTCGTGCAGCTCTTCCGCTCCCCCCAAAGCTCCGGCACCAAAGGTGAGGACAGAGCCTGACCCCGAAAGCCCCGCAGTGCACGGTGGGGACATTGACAGCCCTTCCTCCCCTGCACCTGGCCCTCCTCCTCCTCCTCAGTCCTCTCAGCGCCTGACGGCCCCAGCTCGGGAGGTGACTTCCAGGCTTTGCTCTTTCTCACAGGCTCAGCCAACCTGCCTCCACCAGCCCCACTGGCAAGCAGCCCTGGTGCTGCTGTTCCATCCAGTACTGCCCAGGGGGGGCCCCAGGGCAGTGGGAAGCCGCTGGCTGGGGCAGACCAACGTGCCCCCCAGGGTCAACTGCAGCCCTACGACCATCAGGGGAGAGCAGTGGCCCCGGTCCCACCAGCGCGGCACAGCCAGCGCAGCCCTGCCAGCTCAGCCAACCCCTCCGGGACACCCCTGGGCAGTGGCAGCCCCCCAGACAGGAGCACCCCCATGGATGTGGACGTCACCCCGGCACTTAACATCAGCCTGGCCAGTGACGTCTCCATGGAGGAGGACGCCCCCCGCGGCTGCGACCTCTCGCTGGCCACCGACGTGTCCATGGAGGAGGACACCGCCCGCGGCTGCGACCTCTCGCTGCCCACCGACGTCTCCATGGAGGAGGACGCCCCCCGAGGCTGCGACCTCTCGCTGGCCAGTGATGTCGCCATGGAGGAGGACACCTCCCCGCCCAGGCACACCACCGCCAGCCCCTCAGCCGCACTCCAGCTCCAAGCCATCAGGGAGCCTGGGGTGACTCCAGCCAGCCGCGCTCTGCTGAGTGGGAAGGTCCTGCCGCAGGGGACTCAGGGGCACTTGGCTTGCTCCCCGGGGGCTGCAGGGACCAGCCAGGATGGTGGCAGCAGCAGCGTCCCCGTGCCCACGGACCGTGGAGACACCAAGCTGGAAAGGCGGGGGGCGAAGAGGAAGAGGGGCTCTGAGCCAGGGCCTGCCATGAAGATCAAGGCTCCCGCAGCCGGGGCTGGGGCAGGAAGATTGGCTTAGGCCTGTTAAAGGGATAGGTCGTTTGGGGACCTATCCCAGTTTGAGGGATAGGTCGTTTGGGGACCTATCCCAGGTTGAGGCATAGATCGTTTGGGGATCTATGCCAGTGGGAGGGATAGATCGTTTGGGGATCTATCCCAGCGGGAGGGAGGGAGGGTGTTTATGTGGGGAAGATGTAGATAGAGATGTAGGGAAGATGTAGAGATAGATGTAGACGTAGATCCGTAGATACTGTTACGTAGAAAACGTAACAGTTTTCTTCTGGTTACGGAATAAAAGATTTGATTCCAACACCTGCCTGTGTCTGCATGGAATGGGGAGGGAGTGCAGGGTGGCCCCAGCAAATGGCCCCAAGCAGATCCACCAAGGCCCAAAGGGCACCAAGGGCACCCAAAGGGCACCCCGGGCCTGAGTCACTGCCAGAGGTGCAGGCACTCCCGCAGGGTCACTCCCCTGCCCCCTTCGCCTGGGGAAGCAGCCCTTTGGCGTGGCAGCCAGGACACATGGGTCCCGTGCAGGACTCGCGCAGACGGCCCCACGCCCAAAGCAGCCCTGAGCAGAGCCTGGGCACCATCCTCCCGCTCTGGGGCTTTGGAAGGCTGCTCCCAGTGACCCCACTGGGGTGTCCCCGGTCAGCCCAGCGCAGCCCCAGACAGGGCTCCTCCGGGCTGCCCTGGGGCTGCATTGGACAGGGCCCATAAGGGAGAGGGAAGAATGCGCTGGCAACCACATCCAGGGCCTCACAGGAGCCCAGGGAGACGACATCCGTAGATCTCTGGGAGGTGACACTCGGAAGGTCTCGACCTCTGTCTTGGGGTGGATGGCGAGCCACTCAGGAGTTGATGGGTCAGGATCAAAGGGCGGGCAGGCTGGGAATGGGCACACTGCTGTGGGGGTTTGCTGCAGGCCTCCTGAGCAGGAGCAAGATGTGGAGGAGACCTCTACAGGCAGCTTGAAGCAGCCTCCAGGTCACAGTCCCTGGTTCTCGGGGAGACTTCAACTGCCCTGGCGGCAGCTGGAGAAGCAACACAGCCAAGCACCAACAGTCCAGCAGGTTCCCGGAAAGCGGTGACGACAACTTCCTGGCCCAGGTGGGCTGGAGCCTCTGACAAGCCAAAGGAATGCTGTGCTGCTCCACCTCTTACTAACAGACCGCAAAGACCTTGTTGGAGATGGGAAGGTGCGGGACAGCCGGGGCTGTAGAGACCATGGGATTGTGGTCGTCTGAAATTGCAGCCAGTGGGAAACACCTAAATAGCCAGGAGATGGAGGAGCCGACGAAAAAAAATAAACTTTTATTGCAAGAAAAGGGAGACTTCACTGGACAAACGGCAGTGAGGTGGCTCAGCTCAGTGGAGGTCGCAGCCCCCTTTTAGCCCCTTTGCCCGCAGCGCTGCTCCCTGCCCGTTTCTCCACTGGCTGAGATACTCTGGGCTTACAGGCTTCCCGACACGCCTACTCTGTGCCCCCCATTACGTCCCGATGAGGTGGCTCGGAAGGCCACTGACATTTTTCAAAGTGGAGGCCGCTTCAAAAGGGAGGACGTGGTCACCTGAGACCTTCTGTGCTGCTGACTGGGCCCCCTGTCTCCGGGCAAACGGCACCTCTTGGGAACTGACAACTGAGCAACCAGTGACTTCTCGCTTCTCCCTGCCAACCGTGACTGCACTACACCCTTTGCAAGAGCACCTTCCTATTGCTAAGAGTGGAGCTCGGGACGGCGGGAGGAGGAAGCAAGGCAGCCTGTAAGACTTGAAGCGTGGAGCTGAGGAGAGCTGCCTTGAGCCTCTTCAGGGATCTTCTTCCTTCTTGCCTGAAATCCTTTTTTCCCCTCACTCACTGCTCTTGCTGCCCAGCCTCACTTCCTGCAACCCCTTCACCCATTTTCAGTCTGGTTCTGTCCCTCCTTCTTTTAATCCCCAGCTTTTCTCCAGAACAGCCAATTGACATCCACGGAATCACTATGCCCAGAACCGCCAGGAGAGCTCCACAAGTTCAGAAGTTCAAGTGGGCAGAACCCCTCTTGGACATACCCTTCCCTGCTTGGAACATCTGATTCCACGTGAGGAGCCAGCTGCTGAGCAGTCCCGAAAGCCCTCGTTTTCTAGACAGGAGCTCAACTCCAAGAGATCACAGCACAGACCTATAAAGCGCCTTTGACCCTGAGCGGACAGAACCCTGTTCTTCTTGTCCACGCTTGTCTTCCCACGGAATGGAGAGCCGAAAAAAACCTCTCCAGGGCAGGGCCAGAACTGACAGGTTTACGGCAGAGGCGCAGAAATTGCCCTGTCATTGCCTCCAGGATGATATGCTTGCTCCAGCATCCTTCCATCAGGGAGCTTTTGTCGGATTGTTTGGTCAGTTTTAGGTCAATTTATATCGCTTTCAGCAATGTCAGCTTCCAGTGGTGAGAAGTCATGAGAGTAGTCCCCAGAATCAGGTGATGCCCCTTGGTACCAAGACTTTGTCTTTAAGTGGCAAAGGTTTTTATTCACCTGCTGGCTTCTGCAGAAGTCTCCTGTTTTTCAAGACTCCTAGACTCCTAGAGCGGTTTGTGTTGGAAGGAAGGGACCTGAAAGCTCATCTGCTTCCAACCACCCCTCTGCCACGGGCAGGGACACCTTCCGCTAGAGCAGCTTGCTCCAAGCCGCGTCCAACCTGGCCCTGAACACTTCCAGGGATGGGGCAGCCACAGCTTCTCTGGACAACCTGTGCCAGGGCCCCACCACTCTCCCAGGGAAGGCTTTCTTTGCCGTATGCCATCTAAGCCTGCCCTCTGCCGGCGCGAAGCCATTGCCCCTTGGTCTGTCACTGCAGTCCCTTGTAAACAGTGTCTCTTAGCCAAAGCCTTCTTGGTCCTCCCTGTTGTGTTGCAAAATTTGCAAGTTGCTGTTGTGCCAGGTGGCACCAGCCAAGCCCTGAGCCAGGTGCAGGACCTTGGCCTTGAGGTCTGAGGTCAGTGGGGCTGTTGAGCCTGGAGAAGAGGAGACTGAGGTCAGATCTCATGGGGGGCTGCAGCTTCCTGCCAAGGGGCAGCGGCCATTTCTGCTCTGTGGGACCAGGGACAGGACGCGAGGGAATGGCCGGAGCTGTGTCAGCGGAGGCTTAGGTTGGACATTAGGAAAAGGTGCTTCCCCCGGAGGGTGGTGGGGCACTGGAACAGGCTGCCCAGGGCAGTGGTCACGGCCCCAAGGCTGCCAGAGCTCAAGGAGCGTTTGGACAACGCTCTCAGGCACAGGGTGGGATGGCTGTGCTGTCCTGCACAGGGCCAGGAGTTGGACTGGGCGACCCTTGTGGGTCCCTTCCAAGGCAGGATGTTCTGTGATTCGAGCTCTTTGGTTAAGCCTTCCTCTGCCCATGAAGAGCTGGCAAAGCTGTTGGGGGTGGGGCAGACAGCTGTTGGTGCTGTCTCTAGGACACAACAATGGCAGGCCTAACATTCCATCCCTGGAGACGCTCCAAGAGGAGCATCCAGACCTGTGTCCAGTCAACAGAAGCGACCGGCCACCGAGCGTGACTGACCATGGCCCTGTCAGCTCTGTGGCGCCGCTCTGTGAGCTGGAGATCAGCCCTGACCCGGCTCGTGCAGCTCTTCCGCTCCCCCCAAAGCTCCGGCACCAAAGGTGAGGACAGAGCCTGAGCCCGAAAGCCCCGCAGTGCACGGTGGGGACATTCACAGCCCTTCCTCCCCTGCACCTGGCCCTCCTCCTCCTCCTCAGTCCTCTCAGCGCCTGACGGCCCCAGCTCGGGAGGTGACTTCCAGGCTTTGCTCTTTCTCACAGGCTCAGCCAACCTGCCTCCACCAGCCCCACTGGCAAGCAGCCCTGGTGCTGCTGTTCCATCCAGTACTGCCCAGGGGGGGCCCCAGGGCAGTGGGAAGCCGCTGGCTGGGGCAGACCAACGTGCCCCCCAGGGTCAACTGCAGCCCTACGACCATCAGGGGAGAGCAGTGGCCCCGGTCCCACCAGCGCGGCACAGCCAGCGCAGCCCTGCCAGCTCAGCCAACCCCTCCGGGACACCCCTGGGCAGTGGCAGCCCCCCAGACAGGAGCACCCCCATGGATGTGGACGTCACCCCGGCACTTAACATCAGCCTGGCCAGTGACGTCTCCATGGAGGAGGACGCCCCCCGAGGCTGCGACCTCTCGCTGGCCAGTGATGTCGCCATGGAGGAGGACACCTCCCCGCCCAGGCACACCACCGCCAGCCACTCAGCCGCACTCCAGGTCCAAGCCATCAGGGACCTGGGGGTGACTCCAGCCAGCCGTGCTCTGCCGCGTGGGAAGGTCCTGCCGAAGGGGACTCAGGGGCACTTGGGTTGCTCCCCGGGGGCTGCAGCAGCGTCCCCGTGCCCACGGACCGTGGAGACACCAAGCTGGAAAGGCGGGGGGCGAAGAGGAAGAGGGGCTCTGAGCCAGGGCCTGCCATGAAGATCAAGGCTCCCGCAGCCGGGGCTGGGGCAGGAAGATTGGCTTAGGCCTGTTAAAGGGATAGGTCGTTTGGGGACCTATCCCAGTTTGAGGGATAGGTCGTTTGGGGACCTATCCCAGGGTGAGGCATAGATCGTTTGGGGATCTATGCCAGTGGGAGGGATAGATCGTTTGGGGATCTATCCCAGCAGGAGGGAGGGAGGGTGTTTATGTGGGGAAGATGTAGATAGAGATGTAGGGAAGATGTAGAGATAGATGTAGACGTAGATCCGTAGATACTGTTACGTAGAAAACGTAACAGTTTTCTTCTGGTTACGGAATAAAAGATTTGATTCCAACACCTGCCTGTGTCTGCATGGAATGGGGAGGGAGTGCAGGGTGGCCCCAGCAAATGGCACCGAACAGATCCACCAAGGCCCAAAGGGCACCAAGGGCACCCAAAGGGCACCCCGGGCCTGAGTCACTGCCAGAGGTGCAGGCACTCCCGCAGGGGCACTCCCCTGCCCCCTTCGCCTGGGGAAGCAGCCCTTTGGCGTGGAGCCGGGGACACATGGGGTCCCGTGCAGGAATCGCGACAGACGGCCCCCCGCCCAAAGACAGCACTGAGCAGATGCTGGGTACCATCCTCCCGCTATGGGGATTTGGAAAAGGCTGCTCCCAGTTTGACCCCACTTGGGGTGTCCCGGTCAGCCCAGCGCAGCCAGGAAGGGCTCCTCCTGGCTGCCCTGGGGTTGTCATTGGCACCAGGCCCATAAGGTGAGAGGGAGAATGCGCTGGCAACCCAATACAGGCCTCACAGGAGCCAGGGAGGAAGACATCCGTTAGATCTCGGGAGGTTGTGACACTCGGAAGGTCTCGACCT